CTTAAAACTGTGGAGTTACAATTGAAAGTGATTTTGGTCATTTAAAATAATGAGTAATTTTATACCTACTTACCCAATTTACCACGTTCTGCAAGGTAAGAGTCAATGACATTTTCTTGTTAGACTTACAAGAAATTGGCTGCCTTCATTTGTCATTTGGAAAATGACTATAAAAGTTTTATTTGTATTTAATCAAGATTTAAATAAGATTTTAATGAAGGTTGTCAGTAAGTAATCATTTCCTTTTAAAAATCTTTGTGCAACATCGAGTGTGCTGACACATGCCTGTAACATAGCGTGCAGGAGGCTGAGGCAGGAGGATTGTTGTGAGTTGTAGACCAACCTGGGCTAAAAATGAGCTCAAGGCCAGCCTGAACTGCATGGTGAGACCTTGTCTCAAAAAGACAAAAAAAACTTTGTGCAAGAGATGATACATGTGAATATGACTCTTGTTTCATTGTAAGGAAAATAAGAGATAACATTATATGTATACCAAGGTATGTAAATTCAAGTCTGTAGAGCCTGCATGCTATAATTGTTAATCTAGATGTCCACCCTTATTTAATGTATCAATAAACATACACACACACACACACACACACACACACACACACACACCATGCCACTAACACAGAAATTCAACATCCAAAACTGAAGGTTATAGATCACAGCAAAATACATTGGTCCTCCTTGCTTTACAATTCTAAGGAAAAAGTCTATTCAAAAGCCAAACTTAATATGCAGGTGTTTGTTGTAGTCTGCTTTTTTCAGTTCTTTTCATTCTTCGCCTTTGGCATTTCAAGGGATTTGACTGGAGAACCAGGTGGGTTATACAAAATGGTCTAAAAGCTTTGTTGAAATAATGATGACAAAAATAATTCAGTTAAACAAGTTTCATTTTTCCGTGAAACCTAAGGACTTCAAGCAAAGAAATAAATTTTACATACTAACTTGTATTGAATATAATTGTGATAAAAACTAGTAAAATTTCTTCAACTTTTTTTTTTTTTTGGTCCCAAGGATCGAACACAAGACCTTGCACTTTCCAGGCAGGTGCTTATGCCTCTGAGCTATCTTCCTGGATAACTTCTCAGTATTGTTATGCACACAATCACATCATGAATGCTAGGAAATGTCTGATCTTTCATATTCTGACCCACACTTCTAACTCTCATGTTTGTCTCATATGATTTTGTATCTGGAACTAGCTTACATATATTCAAATCCAATACCTGGGAGTATATGATAAAGACAAAACCAGGGACTCTATATCTCAGAAATTATAAGCAAATTGAGAGCCAAGCTTTATCAGCCCTCACTTACAGATCTTATTTTTGTTTTTCACCTGGTGCATCTTGATTGACACTTATTTCTGCCATTTCTGGGAATGAAAAAGGAAATTTACAGAAAGAATATCTGCTCTGCTTCACAGTCAGTGCTTCACAGAACTTTGGATATCTCAAAATGAAATCCTAACTTATCTCTCTCAATTCTCCTACAGTTTAGAGTAAGAACAAAGGAGAATGGACAATGGAAACTGCTCTTCGCTCACTGGATTCTTCCTGTTAGGAATAACCAATAATCCTGAAATGAGAATAATCCTATTTGGCATATTTTTAACTGTGTATCTCATTAGTCTCTCAGCCAATCTTGGTATGATCACTTTAATCAGAGTGGATTCCCAGCTTCACACACCCATGTACTATTTTCTCAGCCACCTGTCCTTCTCTGACCTCTCCTACTCTACCGCCATTGGCCCCAAGATGCTGGTGGACCTCCTCACAAGTGACACATCAATTCCCTTCTTTGGCTGTGCCCTGCAGTTTTTCATCTTCTGCATGTTCATAGACGTTGAGTGCCTCCTGCTGGCCATGATGGCCTTTGATCGGTACAAGGCCATCAGCAACCCCTTGCTGTACGCAGTGGACATGTCCAGCAGGCTGTGCTCTGTGGTCGTGACCAGTATATACGTGTTTGGAGTAGTAGATGGTTTCATACACACCTCACTGGCATTTCGCTTGTGTTTCTGCGGTTCTCATGTGATCAACCATTTCTTCTGCGATTTACCTCCACTTCTTCTTCTATCCTGTTCTGATGTAGAAATCAATGAGCTGGTGCTGTTCACCATTTTTGGATTTGTTGAGCTGGGCACTATCTCAGGAGTTCTGGTCTCCTACTGCTACATCGTCTTGTCGGTCTTAAAGATCCGCTCTGCCGAGGGCAGGTTCAAAGCCTTCTCCACCTGTGCTTCCCACCTAACTGCAGTAGCCATTTTCCAGGGAACGATGCTCTTCATGTACTTCCGCCCCAGTTCTACCTACTCCCTAGACAAAGACAAGACAACCTCGCTGTTTTACACTCTGGTGATTCCCATGCTCAACCCTCTGATCTACAGCCTGAGGAACAAGGATGTGAAAGAAGCCATGAAAAAACTGAGTAATAAAATTTTCTATAGATAAACAAGAGTATACTACAAGTAAGTACATATTTGTATACCCACAACATATATGACCTCAAGGTGATTTGTTTATATGTCTATAATGTTTTCTTGGTTTAGATACTTTGACTCAGCATAACAAATATTTTACTATCTCCTGCATACAATTTTTTTGTATTTCCTCAAACATTTCATACGTCATTAAGTCTTTCAAAATTACAGTAATCTTTATCTTATAAGTATATATTTTGGTCTTCTAAATATGTGCTGCTTCTGTCATGTCAATTATTGCTACAATCTCTTTAAAGTAAATATTTGTAAAAATTTGCATATCTTCTTTGAGAAATATATATTTGAATATTCTTTACACTTTTTATGTATTTAGCACAGGGCCTACTGAGTCTCACTACACAGATCAAACTCCTAGTGAGCCTCCTGCTTTCAGCTTCCCAAGCACTGGATTACAAATGTGTGTCACCACACTTAGTCTCAATCATCCTCTCAGAGCACCCCAGGGGCAGGGGCAGCACAGCATGTTGGGGATTGAACTCCAGTCTCTGTGTCTGCATATCAGGTGCTGTAATCTGCTGAACTATCAGGCTGGCCCTATACACTTTTATATATGCTAACTGTTTTGAGGAAAATATAAGTTATATTAAGGAGTAAGTAAGATGAGGTGTCTTATAATGTGATTTATTTTATATGAAAAATAGCTGAGTTCATACCCAAGACTCGTACAAAGTGATCATTCTATTACCAGTCTTACTTTGATGTGCTCATTCATTGTGTTCCTGTGCAGCTCTGGAAATGAATGAACTGGTGCTAGATACAACAGTATGAAGGAATCTCACATAAAATTATTAAAATAATTCAGACATACAAACAAAATGATACTGGCTAAATTACTTCATAAATATTACATATAATCTCTGGAGTATTGATTCTGTTCTTTTGGCTTGGATTTTGACAGCAGGAATGTCTTCATTTCTTGAATTCCATTTACCATTCCTTTGGTAAAGTGTCCAAATGCTTTAATTTTTTCTAAAAGCAAACACCATTCACTATTAGATTGTATGCATCTGAAATATTTCCTTATTAATTAAACTTAATAGTTATTGCACATATTTAATGCCTGAAAAATTAATAAAGCACAAAAATCTCATAGACTATTTCATTTTATAGATTGAATGAAAAATTTATGTTAACCAAAACATAATGTCTTGCCTGTGTGACAGATGTTTGCCTCGACAGCCATTTTTCTTCTTGTTTTAAGTAATGGAGTGATCTGGTTTTCCTTCATGGTAAGACCACACATGAACTTATTTTACAATGGCCTGTGACTCAGGACCAGACTGCCACCTTCTGTTGGAGAGACTTTTAAGTGGACAGGTGCCTATGACTATTATGCTTAGGGATGCCAGTGGCACCAAAGAATTGTCTACATTCAGATGTTTTGGTACCTTCTTTAGTGAGTTCTCTCTTGTGCCTTAAAATCCACCTTGAATCTTTTCACTCTGTGATTTTGAAAAGCTATTCTGAGTAAAAGCACAAATCTCCTTGGGGCTGAATTTTGACTGACAATTTTTTCAGCAACATATGCCAAGCCATGCTCTGGAGTCTGGGAATAGCTGCACACAGCCAAGAGAGGTAGCCATGTTTATGAAGTTAATGTTTGATCCTGGCTAGAAAGTGTGGTGTGAGGAAAGGAGGTATTCCTGGAGACAGATGGGGAAGCCCATGAGGGATGGAAACAATGGGTTTAGGAAGAAAATGCCCAAGGAAGTGCCTATCTCCTCCAAATGTGCCCTAGAGAATTAATAAAGCTCTTGGGTAACAGAAAATACTACTTTCTTGCACTTGCCTGGTGGAAAATTGTGTGCAATTACTTAGTTCTGAAATGTGCTTCCTAACAATTCCCAGAGGAGTAATTTTGTATTTTGGCAGTGGAAACATTGCACAAAACAGCAGTAATAATGAAACATCAAAACTACTCAAATGGTCAGTACAAATCATTACTTCATGAATTAAAAATAAATTAATGTCTTAGGATCCCATTTCATGTGAATTCTATGTGTACAAACAGAAGGGGAAGGATTTATGACAGCAAATGAGGCAAACCAAAATAATGACAGCACCCATGGTGGCTTCGTCCGTGGAGGGCCCCATACACAACACTACCCAGAGTACTACAAGACACAAGCTCACACCCTTCTAGTGTCCTCTCACTGTTTTATACACTTTCATTAATAGGATTTGTGGCCACTAATTACTGACATAAACTCTTGTGATGTGCAGACACTGTTCATAATTATTTTGTATTGTCATCAACAGAAGCAATTCATTCTTCACAGAGTAATTTTGGTTTTCTTCTAGACACCACCTAAAGTAACAATTGATGTGCATTTTGTGACTGTGTGACAAAATCAATGGTTTAAGTTTGTCGACTTCTCCTTCACTATGGAGAAGTTGTGACTTTACAGAATTTAGCACACCTGCACTTACACATATGTATAAACTCACACCACATGAGTCCTCCTACTCATCATAACTTGTTTGAGATCCACACATGCTATTCACGCATGTGTTTCTGGGAGTTATTTCTTTTTATTGTGAGTGTATACTGATACATCGATAGCTACACTTTGCACAATCACTCCCTGTGGGGGTCCAGCCCTCACAGAGGGGATCAGGGTACAGGGAGTTCAGAATGAAAAGCAAAAAGAAATCCCAGATCAGACAGTCTGGACAGCAATCCATGAATTAAATTTATCTTGCTTCAGGCTTATATACAGAAAGTCTTCATCCCATGCCCAACATTCATCCCAACTAGAAACTTTCTAGTTTCTCTGGGGACAGAAAGGTGGCATGGTCTAGATGATCAACAAAAGACCACATCAAGGAAATCTGAGTCTACCATTGGGCCATTGTCCAAACTACAGAATAGGGAAGCTGAGCACCTTGACACATTTTGCTTTTCAACAGACTATCTCCTCAACAGGTCAAGTATTTTCATCTGGGCTCCAACATCTCCCTGTCTTTTACTTTTTAATTGTTTGTGGAAGGCAATGCAGGCCCATCCAGTGATTCCTGGCTTGACAAAACTGCAAGCATGGCCACAAGTAACTTTGGGGATGTAACTGCCATGCCCTGTGCATCTGCGTGGCTTCATGTGTCAGGCTCTTTACTTGTCCTCAAGTGGGAGCTCTGCTTGTCCGGTGTTTCTCACCATTTGGCAGTGTCTCTTTAGATGAATCATAGGGGGAATCAGATGTTCCAGGGCTTCCATGCATGCTGGGCTCACAATGAGGCTTAATCAATCTCCCCAGCATCTGAGGAGGGATGTGGCCCCTATGGGGAGGCACAAGCATATCCCCTTCCTCTGGTTAGCAGGGGAGCAGAGGCCCACCACTCTCTATAAGGGTATCCTTCCATCAGATCAGAACAAGAGGATCAATGGTGTGGGCCCAATTTCTCTGTGCTGAGGAAGAAGCCTGATCATCAAAATTGGAAAAAATATAAATATAAAGTGCATGGTGTAATATGGCATGAGGAATATAGTAAGCTATCTCTCTCTGCCTTAATATAAAAATTTGTTGTTTTAGTGTGGAGTGAGCATTCAATGATTGTTTGGCCTGTGGAGTTATGTAGGCCAGCCAACAACATCCACTATGGAGACTGCAGATCTAATACAGTGACCTGAAAACTCAAAAACAACAATATATGTGGTTTCAGTGTCAGCAACAAAAGTTTTTTTCTTGGGATAACCAGGGGCTCTGATAAAGATATTTCAATTGGGCTGGGTACCCCAAGCCTCATTGCTTTTCTTTAGTGGCAATAACAAGCAGGTCAAGTATACATGGATCTTGTAGTGACTCCTGCAAGGGCAGGGAATTGGATGACTTACTGCTCTCTGGCGGACAAGGCAGTCACATTTCCAGTGATCCTTGAGTTTGCAGATGGAACTAGGTCCCAGTGATAGCTGTAGGTTGGGGCAAGCTTGTTTCCAGTGTCCTTCTTCACTGCACTTGAATCACGGTCCTTGAAGGACCCAAGTGGCAGCATCATTGAGGCTCAGCACTACCTGGAGAAAGTCCTGTTTTGATGGTTGTCTCTATTATTGAAGACACAGAAAGCCAGATTAAGTAAGTCTTCCTGATGGGTTTGAGAAACAGGATCTGTCTTTAAGCTTGGAATGAATGTCATGAGCAGATAAGGATATAAAATAGAAATTAGGAACAATTTTTTCTATAGGAAAATCTGGGTTTGTATTAGTATACTTAGTTGGGAGCAATACACTTAATTATTAAAATTTTATCTGAGTATTAAGCACCTTGAAATATAAAGTGCAACCAAAGAAGTGTTGTCATTTTACCAACTATGGATATCCTAGTAGTAAATTCACTGTAGAATGTTAATAAACAACAGTTACATAATTTTACAGAGATCATTTGATATCAATAATCATAGAGAGTAGTGAGGCATAACAGTCATAATGAAGTTTCCATTTTATTTAAACATCTCTAAATATACACTGCATACATATCACATAAGTTTTGTTAGAAATTATCATTCATTTGACTGATGACCTCATGTTGACTTGACATGAACCTCTTTTTTTTTTCTTTTCTTTTTTTTTTGTGGTACCAGGGATTGAACTTATGTCCCTGTGCAACATGAACCTCATGTTGCAAGTATCTGGAGCAGAAGAGAATGGCATATGTTTAAATCTGAGAAAAATTTTGTACTGTAGAATACTGTACATCTGGAAGGTATGAATACATTTAATACATCAAGAGGATTTTTTATGGAAAACCCTCTTTTTATTCTGAAAAACTTTATCTTGTAATCAATGACCAATTTATTGGGGGTGTCTTCTAAGAGTCTATTGAGATTATTGGGAGATCCTCATTAATGAAGAAAAGGCTGGACACACCCCTTATCCATTAATTGTGCCCTCAAACCTTTTGAACTGTATACATCAATTTTGTCATCACTTTGACTATCTGGTAATTTAGGAAAAAA